CACTGGAGCTTATAATAAAACTCATTTTTCTCAAACTTATTTTTATTCACACATTCTTGTAATAAAATGTTTTGCAGGTAAATCAAAATTTTATTCTTGCTTTAACCACGTATTATCCAAAAAATCACTATTTTAAAATTCATTTTTTCCAAAAAAAAAATAAAATTATTTTAGTGGTAGTCCAATAGGGGCTAAGAGTGGTTTAAACCTTTATATGTTGGCTTATCTTTCGATATTCAATCGATGTGAGATTTATCCCTTAACAAACGAGATTGGACATTACAAAACAAGGTTTTAGTTTCTTTTGATTTCAGAATTAATTCTTTGACATTTGTTGTCAAGTATGAAGAGAAGATGAGTTAAGGCTGATCCTTTGGGTGATGGTGGACTGATTATGATGCTCGCATGCTGTTGCTTGATATTTTCTTTTGGATTGAAAATGTTTGGGAAGCTTTTGTGTGATGCTTCTAAAAAGGTAAACAATTTTTATCTTCTTTAATTCTTGAAATTAGCTCAAAAAATTTTAATTCTCATTACAATTTATATTCTTTAATTCTTGAAATTAGCTCAAAAAATTTTAATTCTCATTACAATTTATATTCACATTTGTTACAATTTGGGTGTGACCTGAATTCTTTTTCGAAAATAATTGAGAGTTCTAATTAAATTGCATGTTAAGAAGTTTAAAATGCTTTTGAAATTCAATTCGAAGTCCATTTGACAAATTTTAGTTGAAATTCTATACAAAAGCCTTGTTGAGAGTTGAAATTTGTATTGAATTTAAAGAGATCAAGATAAGAAAACTTCCAAGCATTCTATTTCGTCTACAACTCTACTTTTAGGACTTGAATTATTCTCTATATATATTTGACTACTCTCTATAATTTAGTTAGGTTATTTAACTTCAATACAAGTTAGAAACATTATAAACACGTAATCTTTGTTCAATTTTTCCATATTATAATAAAATTTCCATTTTCTGCAAATTATTTTCTTCTCGTGCTCTTAGGATCTTTACTTTATATAATTGTTTTAATCTCTTATCTTTTCATAACAAATTGGTATCGAAATTGTTCCACTTTTCAAAAAGTGGTTTCAAATCTAGTCTGATTCATAACAAGTCGTACTGGAGCTTTTGGTTTTGAAATTCTTGGTAAGATCAAGGTTTTCCGTGATGGCAAATATGAAGTTTCATATTCCGCTATTGGATCACAATACAAAGTTTTCATTGTGACGGGTTAGAAAGCGAGCAGTGCTCACTTATATGAGATTGATTTTGTTGTGTTTTGTATCCGCTTCATATTTGTTGTTTAAAGACGTGATCTTATATAATCGTGATCTCATCATTGAAGAAGTATGTGATGTTCTATTTTCAAATGAGAAGATGAAGTTTATTGTTGAGGTTCATGAAGATGACCTAGTTCTTGATGGTGATTGTGCGGGAGGCAAATTAAAGTCTGACTTCCAAATTTATTACAAGCATTTGGAGCACTTAATTATGAATTGCTATAGGTTGCGTAATAGAGAAAATTTGGCTGCAACTTTCAACTTTTCAGAAGGAAAAACAATTATATATTTCAGGTGAAAAGAAAGACGTTTTTCTTGACTTTGTTGACGTGTATAGGGAGCCAGGCAAAACTGCCAGGCGGATAAGGCCGCAACGAGGGAAGATGCTGAAGGGATTACGAGTGCAGAGCTGCGGAATGATCCTAATTTGACTGCTCATCTGGGTGGAGTGGCAGCAACGGTTGCAGCTGCTGCGAGGATCAATGAAAAAAGTTATGCTCTTTTAGGTAGTGCGAGCTTCGGAGGTCAGTGAGGGTCTGATGGAATATGAAGTATACTTGTATTTCTGTATTTTATGTTAAGCTACAATGAAGGCAAAAGTTTAGCAGTGTGCGAATATAAATAAATACATTATATTATGTCATCTATATATATATATATACAATTTTTATTTTATTTTATTTATAATCGTGGGTGTTTAGACCAGCTTATGCACACCTCGACTCATCCCACAGGATCCCGAAGTTTACGACTCGAACTAGTGATCATTGCAAGCAAACCTAAGACCTGATTGGTGAATCAAAATTGTATCCCAATACTTTTTTTTAAATTATGAATGAAAATAATATTTGCTATATGATTTGCGGTGTGGAGATTCAATTTTTGAGTTTTAAAAATTTTAATTTTAAATTTTTAGTATATATAGAAGAACAGAAAATTGAAATCGTGCATTAATTTGCAAACTTGTAAGAGATTAAGATATTAAAATACAAGAACATCGAAAATAAATTCAAGCATTAATTTGAAAAATAAAAATAAAAGGAGAGAAGAGAGATGGATTAAAATTTAGATTTTAATATAAGTCAAAGTTAATGATTCACAATTTTTTAAATATTATTTTATCCATTTTTAATTAAAACTTCTGAAAAATTAGTTTTAGTTTTCACCAAATTAGGGCAAAATGATTGACTAGGAACGAAAATATATTTGAATAAAATAAAACAAAAATTTACGGGGAGATTTTTTTTTTTTTTTCCTAATAATATCTAACTTTACGCTTTTTACTATATACAGTATATTGTCAACTTTATGGGAGTTCTAATAAAATTCTGTTTGATTATGACTAAAAAGGACTTCAAACTATAAAATGAAGTTTCATTTAAAATAAATAAATTTGTGCCTTTCAATACTAAGTCCCTGTTTGGTTCTATTTTTTAAAAAATAAAATATATTTTTAAAAAAATTCATTTAACCATACACACTCCTGTAAAATCATATTACACATGAACTCGAAACTTTTTTTTAATAGTTATTCTTTATTTTGCTCATTTTACACCTGGCTATTATTTGGGAGATTGCTTTGATCTCATCAAAGCAGTTTTGAGGACGTTTACAGTTCTAATTGCAAATTATTGTTCATGATCCATAAGCAAGAAAAAAGACCATAATAAATGAAGTAATTGTATTGGACGTGTAAATGGCAAGTCTTAAATAAATATAAATTAATAATTACTACTCCTTTTTATTTTTTATTTTTTGTAAGTTTGACCTTTAAACCGCAAGATTCAAAAATAAAATAAAAATTTGTAGAGTAATTCAATCCATTGAAAGTTCGCAAGTAGTAAATTTTCAAAGTACGCGTTTTCAAAGATTAGAACATGGCTAAAATGAAAATAATGAACTTTGAACTCCAGATAGTTCAACATTGAGAATTGTTTATATATGCATAGAATTGCCTTGAAATGTCCAAATGTCTGAGTTATGAACCTATTCTAAGTTTCAAACGCACTTTTTTTCCCAATTCAGTATTTTGATTCATCTTTAAAAAGCAATATTTATGAAGAAGTGGAAACATGATATTCCATAATTATGAAAAATAGGCTATAAATACTAGCAAGTTTCTACAAAGAAAAAAGCCATAAGAATCGAGATGTTTCACAGGAAAGTTGCACCGGAAGAGAGGTGGCGTGCTTGAATTGGATGATGAAAAAATAGATTAAAACAACCTGATGTAGTGTTGACACTTGATATCTGACAAAAAAATTTGTAAAACTTCTCTGTACCTGTAGCAAAACTGTTCTACAAATATTTTACAGAATTACTCTCTCTCTCTCAAACATTTTTGGGAATTTGAATCTATCAGTTATGAACTCTGGTAGGGTTTGATGTCTTTAACGACTATCTGTACTGCTTTTTATGTTTCACGTCTATGTGACCAATCTTAAACTCGTCACAGGAAAGTACAAAGGAAGGGACCACTTTGTAATATCTTGAAAATGGAGACTAACATGAGATATTTACCCACAAGTGACTACTTGAAAGGCTTAGACATTTGCAAAACTTCATCATCGTTGAAAGGAATTGCGAGTCTGCCTTCATAAAGATAATGGCGGATTTATGGAGCAATGGGGTTTGAAGCAAAAGACATTTTCCAAATTGCTGTTTCAAGTTCAATGTAGAAGATTAGAAGTTAGTGGGATTGATGAACAATCAGATTGATATTTAAAGATTTCAGTATATTACCTTTTGTTATCAAAGTAAAATAATTTGTACAACAGTGTCGTTGAATATTTTTTAGGGCATATTTTTAGATAGATTTTGTTAAAAGAGATTTTTTTTTTTGGGAATGTATGATTAAAAAGAATATGAACTTAATATTAATATGTTTTATTATTTGTATATAGGCACAACGATAAAGAACTTTATCAAAGTTTCAAATGTTGATTTCAAAATATAAAATAATTCTAAAATAAAAGTGAACACTTAATCGACCGTTCTTCCAACTGATTCTTTCTAGAGAACAACTAAAGTTGATTATCTCCAGCAATAATAAACTACCATACTTGGCAAGTATTAAATAAAAATTAGGTGTTTGAACAATGAATTCTACATTTGAATAGATTCTTAGCTTTTGTTTGCTTTTCATTTTTTCTCCTAAAATGTTATTTTTCAAATTAAACATTAATTTTAACCTCAAACTCATATGATTCACAAGCATTGTCCATTTATCAACTACTCATTTTTTGAAAAATGGATCTTAGCAAAATAAAACGAGGCACAAATAAATAGAAATTGCTACAAGACTGCGCGCATTATTGAATTACTGAAATACCAATATTATTTATTCACAAAGTACTCTGATATTACAGCAGTACTTAGGTATTACAGTAGCTAGCTATATGTCTCCAACTGACATATTTCTTAACCTCTTTAAAGTTGGTACAATGCCTCATCCAAGCGAGGCCTTGCATGTGCATGCAAAGGTTTAGCCAGAGTTAGTTCCTCCGATGTAGAGAGATCAATCTTCTCCTCCACTACAACAAAAGTAGCCTTTTACGGCATGCATTTATGGCGTGCATATGCGACATGCCGTAAAAATAGATTAATTACATCATGCAGTAAATGTACACCATTAAAAATCAATGAATTCAATCATTTACGGCGTGCTTTCTCTGCACGCAGCACGCCGTAAATGGCAACATTTAACGGCACACTTTTATGTGCACGCCGTCTCCTGGAGCGGTTTTTGCCCTTTATAAAATCAATATTGGAGAGAGAAACCAAACACCACTTGAGAGGAAACCTTCTGCCTTTAAATTCGAAATCCCTAGAGTCTTCCAGCCGGCGATTGAACCTATAATACTTACAAGTTACACGATTCAACCCGTCATCCCTACTCCCTCCTCTCAATTTAGCCTTTGTTGCGAGCCTGGGACCGATCAGTCGAGCTAGATTTCGCGAGAACTGCTGCCGCCTTTCGCCTCCCATCGTTGTCATCCGTCTCCCGCCGTTGCCATCGCAGTCAACCCATAAACGGAGTGATAAGGTTAGTACAAACTGTAAGTTATTAGTCTTGATTTTACAGACTGCCTTCTCAATTAATTATGCTGAATTTGGGATTTTTGTGCTTATGGAAAGTTACAGCATTATGGATTCTTTTACTCAGACCATTCCCCAAATTTTAATACACCAAGCCAACTAATTATCTGAACCGGTTCTTTTATATACTATTGTTGAGTTTCCAGAAGTGACCTATAAAAACGTACGAATTTGCTAAAAATAATTTAAACAGTGGTGATTAAATGTTTGGTTTATATAGATTCAACATATGTTTATTTACAATCATCACTGTTTTGTGCCAATATGTTGAATATATTTTACTGAAATGTACATATATTTTGTTTTGTGTACGAATTTTTTGGGAAATGCAATTGTACACAAAAATAATGTTTATTTACAATCACCACTATTTTGTGCCATTATGTTGAATATATTTTGCTGATTTAGTTAACAAATTCAGCATAGCTAATTGTTTTTGGAAAATCAATAAGGAATTAAATGTTGAAGATTTTCCTCGAAAACACAATTCTGGAAAACCGCATGATATTTACAAGGACCTACATATCCAAATTAAAGGACTAAAACTTGATTAGCTGACCCCTTCCTTCTGTACATTTGTTGTAAATTTCTAAAGATACTGGATTATGGAGTTTTGTTAAGATAGAGTAAAATACTTGTATTGCATTTCAAAAATGAAAGTTAATATTGAAAGAGGTTAAGTTATACCATTATTTAAGCAATACAGCAGTGATGAGCTGAATCAATAGTACATAGCTACAAGGACTTCCGGTAGACACCAAGACTTATTTAAAGCTAACTTGTCCATTTTCAAATATGAATACAGATGAATAACAGAATAAGGTACTGCTCATGACTATTGTCCTTGATGACTGGTTAGATAAATTTCTTGTTTATGACCTATATACACACCTCGTGCATCAGAATGTTATATCCATATCAAGGAAAACACAAGTAGAATTTGTCTGTTAGCCACACATTTGTAATAACTTGTCTGACAATCAAAATTCATTCTCCCCTGCCCCCACTATGTCTCAGGTTAAAGAAAAGGGCAATGGCTTAATACATTACTTATTTCTTCTGAATGTGACATTATACTTTCTTACTGCAGTTGCAGATATTTTGCTATGGAGAGAGGGGAGAAAACATTTACTTGTTTTCTCTTGCTGGTTCTGCTCTATCATATGCTACCACCAATTATGTAAGCATGAACACTGTAGTTTTCTTTGGTGGATGATGCTATCAGCTCTTTATATAGATAGAATTCCATTGCTTGTATACCTCTTTTTTAGAATTGTCCACTAGTATCTTCTTGAGCATTTTGCTAATATACTTCTGGTTAGCTCAATATACCTTGAATTTATAAATGCACGAATTCATTCAACTTAAGCAAATAATAAAGTTTGTTTCATCTGGAGTTATCGAGCATCTCTAGCAATTTCATAAAATGGCTTGAATTTGATGAAGGATAAGGCGACGATTTCAACAAACGGATCCATTTTCCAAAAGTAAAACGGTAATGAAATAGCTTTGTCCGTTTAAATTGTATAAAATAATAGAATAAGATGTAATCTCTGTAGTTTGATTTGCATCAAACTAACATTATACATTTTTGCTCAAATATTTTGACCCCAAATGTCTTAAGTTGAAAACTTTTGTTGAACTCTTATAGGTTCTGAATTCATGTGCTGAAAGGAAGGTTTTCAAGACACCGAGCTCTTTTAACTAAAGAAGATTGCTACCATATTTGACGGACATTGTGAAAGAAAAATCCAGTAAGCTTCTTCACTTGTTTTTTTTCCCTCTTATGAGAATGAGTGTTGAGATAATTAATCTGATAGTATGGCTTCATGCTTGGAAACTAATAGTTGTATATATAAATGTTTTTTTTTCTCTGTAGGTGCTTCACATATTGAAATAAGAATTTCCCAATAAATTGCAGAGTTAAGTGGTTTGAGTCCTAAAATGCCTTCATTGATGGAAAATGGTTGTGCTGCTAAACTTGAGTGTATTGGAGCATGGACTAATCCTGCAGATAGTTTCGAGTCGACTTTAACAATGATGAATTGAATAGTAGTGTGCTCTCCATGTTCTAGAGGATGGATATGCAGTAGCAACTCATACAGGCTTGGGGTAGAAGGAAGAACTTTCTTGGGAAGAGTTTGGGAGGATTATTCACGAGTTATATATTCGTATTGTGAATTTGATGCCATTGTAAGACCAGAAGAATGGAATGACCGGAGGAAACAACTAAATGAACTGATTTTTTTTTTTAAAAAAAATTTGACATTTACAGCGTGCGCAAAGTCGATATTCTTGCATTTACGGCGTGCAAGTGCACGCCATAAATAGTCAATACTGTTATTTACAGCATGCACATGCACGCCGTAAATAGTGAATACTTTTACGGTGTGCATTTCCACGCCGTAAATAGTTCTTTACGGCGTGCATTTACAGTGTGTTTTGCACGTCGTAAAAAACTTTACCTATTTACGGCATTGCTTTATACGGCATGTGGCCGCATGCCATAAACAGGCTTTTATAGCACGCAATGCACACCATAAAAGGTCCATTTTGTTGTAGTGCTCATTGGGTGTTAGGCTCCATGTGAACCCTTGAATCAGCCTTCCCAATGCCATTATAGTCAAAAGTGTACCAACACTATGTTCCGTACATGCATGCTTACCAGTAGAAAAAGTCAAGAACCTCAAGTTTGGTTCTGAGAAATCTACTTTACTGACATTTCCACCCAAATGCCGCTCTGGATTGTATTTCAAGGGTTCTTCCCAGGTCTCAGGGTTACGACCCAGTCTGATTCGGCTCAACAAGACATGGCTGCCTTTCGGAATGAAGTACCCACCCACTTCCATGTCTGTTGATGACAGGTGCGGCAAATTGAACGGAACGTGAGGATGCAGCCTGAAAGCTTCTCTTGCACATGTCTTCAAATAATTTAATTGGTGAACATCTGATTCTTGAATCCATCGGTCTTTCCCTACAACCCTGTCTATTTCCTCGACTACCTTTTGGAGAATCTCAGGTTGATTAATCATTTCTGCCAGCGCCCATTCTGCTCCTGCCGCAGGACCATCTACGCCAAAAAAGAACTCCTAAATAAAAAAATTATATTAAACTATGTAAGTACTGCCATGTCACTATAAGCAACAGAAATGACATTACACTGCATTGAGCTTTGATCTCATTTATCGACAGAAGTGGCTTCCCACTTTCATCCTTAAGCGTTATCATAATGTCAAGAAGGTCCTCTGCCTCCTTTCTCTTACCATCTTCCCATTGTTTGATTCTGTCTTCTATAATTGGATCATGGTATTTGTCAAAAACGTTCATGGAGTTCCTTACATTCTTTTCATGGCCATCAATATCTAGACATCTCAACCAGGGCACGTAATCTGATATGCAAAACGCAAACGTGTGTTTGAGCACTGTATAAAGAGCATGAATATGTTGCTTTTCTTCAAAACTTGGTCCTCCATTTTCTCCACCTTCCCCAAAGAATCTTCTGCTAAAAGTCATCTTTCTGATTACATTTGGTCCATAATGTTTTATTGGTAAACGCAGATTAATTACTGATCCATCTAGATTATTGCACCGTTTGAATATATAGTAAACAAGATTATCAGTTTCTTCATTCCTCTTGTTAAGTAGCCACCGAAGTCTGGTTGGACTAAACAACTCCTGATCGACAATCCTTTTCATTTTCTTCCACTGTTCTCCCCATGGAGAAAGTCCCATTGTCAAGTATCCCCGGCTTGCATATTCAGTAGCCATGGTTATAGGTCTTGACATGAAAACGGAATCATGTTTATGCAGAAATTCTCGGCAGAGTTCTGGTGAAACTACCACTGTTACATGAACCCTACTCAGACGGATGCAGACTATGTTTGTTTTCAGTTTTTCCATTACCCCGTCTACCCATTTGAATACAGGCTTGTTTGTGTACACTTCAAGAAGGTTTCCGATTATAGGCCAAGAAAATGGACTAGGTGGAAGTGGTGGTTTTTTGCTTTGGCTCAAGATTTTCCCATTGATAGTTACAAAGATGAGCATGCAAGAAAGGAGGAAAGAAGACATGAGGAAGAACAAGGTAAATGACATTTGGAAATTGGTGCAATTCATCGCATTATAAGGTTTCTAAATTTGGGGTTTTATACACAAAAAAGTTGGAAGCTTCCAAAATCTATGTGATAAGTGTGTTTTTGCACATTTATTTACATCACAAACATGACTTAAATACAAGTAAAATGATTTAATTGCTACTTAACTTTGTCAAATTCATGCAATGTAGGTAATTCTATGAAAATAGTGGAATTCAGGAGAAAAGAGCCGAAAAAAGACCAAATTGAAGCAAAGAGAAAATTCAGGGACCAAATTGCAATTATTTGAAAGTTGACCCGATGAACACATCAAGCAATTGATCAAGCCAAGCACCAATTGGAAGTTATAAGAGAACATTAGAGCAACTAGGAACAAGAGAGGAGGTCAAGGAGTGAAGGAATGAAAATTGAGGACCAAAATGACTCAAACAAGAAAGTAGCTCTACTATGCGGTCGCATAGTATAAAACCTATGCGACCGCGAGTGAACCTCCAGGGATTAAAAAGGGCGTTTTTCTTAAACCTATGCGGTCGCATAGGTTATGCCTATGCGGTCGCATAGGTACAAATTTTCCCCGAATTTTGCAGTTTCCTTATATGATTGCAACTCCTTTGGTAACCTAATTTTGGACGGGTTTAAATAGCAACAAGACGTTCAGAAGCCGCACGAACGACTTGGGGAGGCAAAAGCATTCATCTTGGAGTGGAATTGAAGGCAAGAACAAGAATTGATGCGAGATTTACGAGATTTCTTCAATTTTTGATAACCCGGTAATGTATTTTATTCATATTTTGTTAGTTTTCGTTATTTTTATCATGATAGGCTAGATTTTTGCAACTAGGTGATCGATGAACCATGTAATTTTTATTAAACTTGCTATTTCATGATTTTGAATTATTAGTTTGATGGATATTTGAATGGATTATATTGGTTTATTTATTTCCACAATTAATGTGCATTTGATTTGTGTGAATTTGGTGGTTTAATTCTGAATTTGAGAAAATTAGATTAGACTCGACATATATAATTCATCATAGGGTCCGATAGGGGATAGAAATATACCCCTATGTCCTATGTAAATCTTTAATTGCTCACAAAAAGATTATATGCGTTCTTGTAAAATTGCATCCGTCATAGAGATATAGGCTGATGATTTATGAGAATATGTTCAATACATCTCGAGAGAGAGTATTGAATAGATTTAGGAGCATTGATTTATCAAATTCTTATTGAATTATCAAAATTGTGAAATTAGGGTTTAATCAATAATTATTTGGGGATTCGTGATCCTAGTGCGTTCGTTTTACATAGACTTACATAAATTGACAATACATTTCATTTAATTTTTCATAACATTTCGTAATTGAGTTATTAGTTAAGTGAATTTAAGTAATTAGTGTTTGATTTGAAATTAGGGTTTTTCAATTTGGGGATTTCCCCTAATTTAGGGTTTGATTTGAAATTAGGGTTTTTCAATTTGGGGATTTCTCCCAAAATTAGGGCTTTTGATTCCAAAATTCATTTCAACTCAATTAGTTTCGGTTAAGGCTAAAATAAGTAAAATTGAACTACTCTTTCTCTGTGGAACGATACTCGGACTTCTAAAGTCCATTTTATTACTTGTCACGACCCGTACACTTACGGTAATTTAAATCGAAAGAAATATTTCACGAACAAGTTTTTGGCGCCGTTGTCGGGGATTGAGTTTAGTTTAATTTTATTTCTTGAGGCACTAATTCGAACTCAATTTTTTTATTTTACTAGCATAATTTTGTTTTTATTTTTATTTTCATTTTAGGTTATTATCCTCTATTTGTATTTTAGTTAATTAAATTGTTTGAATCTAAGTGCTCGTACTGGTTTTAATTCTCAGATTTGCATGTCGCGATTGCCTGGAGGAGAATTGATTCCAACCGATCCTGAAATTGAGCGCACCTTTCACCGACGACAAAGAAATCACCGCGAAGTACAAGTACAAATGGCCAACGAGTTAAACAATCCCATGATTCATGCTAACGAAGGAGAGGCAATGGACGAAGGGAATGAGATTCTGGGGGATTTCTTGACTCCTCAAGTGATTCAAAGCCAGTCCAGCATAGTGTATCCACCGTTTGGGCAACCTAATTTTCAGTTAAAGACCAATGTGATACAGCCGTTTCAAAATGGACACCAATTCTATGGCAAGGCTGAGGAGAACCCACACACACATGTATCTCGATTTTTGGATATGTGTCAACATTTCAGATACCAAGGGATTTCGGATGACGCCATTAGGTTGAGGTTTTTTCCACACACGCTACGAGACCGAGCACTTGAATGGTTGGATTCACTCCCGGTTGCAAGTATCACTACATGGAATAAGTTGGCACACAAGTTCTGCACAAAGTTCTTCTCCCCAGCCAAGATAGCAAAGCTGAGACATGATATATCAGTATTCAATCAAGGAGAGACTGAATCATTTGATGAAGCCTGGAACAGATTCAAAAACATGCTCCGGAAATGCCCTCAGCATGGGTTCGATAAAAAGACCCAAATCCGATTCTTCTACACAGGATTACTTCCATACCATAAGAGCATGGTAGATTCAGCATCAGATGGCTCAATATCCACAAGAACAGTTGATGAGGCATTGAAATTATTTGAGCGAATGGCTACCACATCAGCCATGTGGTCTTTTGAGAGGACAACTCCAAAGAAAACTCCAGGTGTCTACGAGGTGGATGCTTATTCAGCAATCTTTGCAAAAATTGATTCTCTGTATCACAAGGTGGAGAGCATATCACAAGCGTCACAAGCTAAGAAGAGCAATTGTGAGGAATGTGGAGCCGAACATAAAACATCAAATTGCCCTATACTCATGCAAGGAATTGAGCAAGCAGATTACGCACAATGGGGACAACGCCAGCAGAATAATCAATATGGTGAGACTTTCAATCCCAGCTGGAAGAAACATCCCAACTTCTCGTGGAGCAACCAGAATCAGAATAAGCCACAAGGACAGTTTCAACAACAGGAGAAGAGGCCTCAATTGGAAGATATGATAGGAAAGTTCATGGAGAAGGCCGAAGCTACACTTCAAAATCAAAATGCAGCCATCAAGAATTTGGAAACTCAGATGGGGCAGCTAGCCATCGCATTGACTGGCAGAACACCAGGTAACTTACCAAGTAATACAGAAATCAATCCTAAAGAGCAAGCAAAGGCCATTACAACTCGAAGTGGAGTTCAATTACCTGAAATTCATGTCAAGAGACCGGGAGTGATTGGAGAAACATCTTCCTCCGCTGAAGAAGAGACAGTTGTAAAAGAATCAAGTTCAAAGGAAAATTCACAAGAATCACAAGATAATGCCAAAGTCACAGTTAACCCCTACGAACCTCCGATTCCCTTTCCACAGCGTTTGAAGAAGCAAAAAGTGGAGCAACAATACAAAAAATTTCTAGAAATCTTCAAAAAGCTCCATATCAATATCCCGCTAGCAGATGCACTATTTCAGATGCCTAGCTACGCGAAGTTTCTGAAGGATATCATATCAAATAAACGCAAGCTGGAAGATCATGAGACAGTCATGCTTACTGAGAAATGTAGTGCCAGAATTCAGAATAGGCTTCCACCAAAACTAAAAGATCAAGGGAGTTTTACTGTTCCTTGCACAATCGGTGGAGTATATTTTGATAAAGCATTATGTGATTTCGGTGCAAATATTAATTTAATGCCTTTGTTTGTTTTCAGGAAACTAGGATTGGGAGAAGCTAAAGCAACCACTGTGACACTTCAGCTGGCTGACAGGTCACTGACACATCCCAGAGGAATAATTGAAGATGTACTTATCAAAGTTGAGAAGTTCATATTTCCAGCAGACTTTCTTATCCTGGACATGGAAGAGGACAAGGACGTTCCCTTGATACTTGGCAGACCATTTCTGGCAACAGAGAGAGCATTAATAGATGTTCAAAGAGGTCAGTTGATTTTAAGATTGGGAGAGAAGCAGATATCATTCAATGTATTCAAGGCAATGAAGTTACCAACAGAATCTGACAGCTGTTATCAAGTTGATATTATTGACAAGGCAGTACAAGAAACATTTTTACTACACGGTCCCTCTGATGCCTATGAGGCATGTATTGCACAATCCCAATCAATCCAGTCAGAGTCTATTGAAATTGAAACATGTGAAAGATTTTTGGAGACCAACCCGCCATACACACGAAAGAGGCACTTCGAGGAACTGGGGACGGGAAACACAAAGCCACTACCTTCAGTTCAGTGGCCGCCAATTTTAGAACTTAAACAACTGCCGCCACATCTCAGATATGCTTATTTAGGAGACTCAGATACACTTCCAGTAATCATTTCGAACACAGTCAGTGAAATGGAAAAGGAAAAACTGCTCAGGGTACTTAGAGAGAACAAGACGGCGATTGGTTGGACAATAGCTGACATTAAAGGAATCAGTCCTTCCATGTGCATGCATAAAATCTTAATGGAGGAAAATTGCAAGCCTAGCATAGAAATTCAGAGAAGATTGAACCCGAACATGAAGGAAGTAGTCAGGGCAGAGATACTGAAGTTATTGGATGCAGGAATTATTTACCCAATTTCAGATAGTGCATGGATCAGTCCTGTCCAAGTGGTACCGAAAAAAGGGAGAATCACAGTGGAGAAAAATGAGAAGAATGAACTAATTTCCACCAGAACAGTTACGGGTTGGAGAGTTTGCATTGACTATCGCAAACTCAATGCAGCTAAACGAAAGGATCACTTTCCACTGTCATTCATTGATCAGATGTTGGAGAGGTTGGCTGGACATTCACACTACTGCTTTCTTGATGGATACTCGGGCTATAGTCAGATACCTGTCGCACCAGAGGATCAGGAGAAGACCACTTTCACTTGTCCCTACGGTACTTTTGCTTATCCTAGGATGTCTTTTGGTCTTTGCAATGCTCCAGCCACATTTCAGAGGTGCATGATGGTAATATTCTCTGACATGATTGAAAGGTTTATCGAGGTTTTCATGGACGACTTCTCAGTATTTGGATCTTCATTTGATGAATGTCTAAACCACTTGAATTTGGTCTTACAGAGATGTAAGGAGACTAACTTAGTTTTAAATTGGGAAAAATGTCACTTCATGGTGCAAGAAGGCATTGTACTTGGGCATAGGATATCGGCAAAAGGAATTGAGGTAGACAAGGTAAAAATTCAAGTGATTGAGAAATTACCACCGCCTACATCAGTTAAAGGAGTTCGCAGTTTTTTGGGGCACGCTGAGTTCTACCGGAGGTTTATAAAAGATTTCTCGAAGATCACTAAACATTTATGCAACTTACTAATGAAAGATGCAACTTTTGAGTTCAATGAGGATTGTCTCACAGCTTCTAACACTTTAAAGGAAAAGCTTACGACAACACCAGTGATTGTAGCTCCAGACTGGGAATTACCTTTTGAATTGATGTGTGATGCAAGTGATCACGCTGTAGGTGCAGTATTGGGACAGCGGAGGAACAAGATTTTTTATGTGATCTACTATGCAAGCAGAACTCTAAATGATGCACAACTAAATTATGCAACCACTGAAAAGGAGCTGTTGGCTATGGTGTTTGCATTTGACAAATTCAGGTCATACCTCGTCGGATCTAAAATCATCGTCTATACTGATCATGCTGCATTGAAGTATTTGCTCACAAAGAAGGATGCAAAATCGAGATTAATTCGTTGGGTGCTGTTATTGCAAGAATTTGACATTGAGATACGCGACAAGAAGGGCATCGAGAACGTAGTAGCAGATTACCTATCCAGACTAGAATCTGGGGAGACAAAAGATTTAGTGGATATAAATGAGATCTTCCCGGATGAACAGATGTTGAGAGTGGATGAAGCACCTTGGTACGCAGATATTGTCAATTACTTGGTCAGCTCCATTCCATCACCTGACTGCTCCAGTCACCAAAGAAAAAAATTCTTTGCCGAGTTAAAATATTATTTCTGGGAGGATCCAATTCTCTATAGGCGAGGAGCTGATCAGATAGTTAGGAGGTGCGTACCTGAAGAAGAAGTACATGAGATTCTCGATTACTGTCACTCATTCGCATATGCAGGACACTTTGGAGCTTCAAAAACAGTTGCAAAGATTCTACAATCAGGTTTCTACTGGCCTACATTGTTTAAAGATACATTTGAGTTTGTTAAGAGATGTGACAGATGTCAACGCACTGGGAATATCTCGAGGAGAAATGAAATGCCACCGAACAATATTTTGGAAGTGGAGATATTTGATGTTTGGAGGATTGACTTCATGGGGCCTTTTCCCCCTTCGTTCTCAAACCAGTATATCTTGGTGGCAGTCGATTACGTCTCAAAATGGGTGGAAGCAGTTGCATTGCCAACAAATGACTCAAAGACAGTAATTGGTTTCTTGAAGAAATACATTTTCACCCGATATGGTACACCGCGGGCTATAATCAGCGATGGGGGCAAGCATTTCTGTAATCGCCAGTTTGAGCAGCTACTGAATAAATATGGCGTTAAATACCGCGTTGCTACTCCATATCATCCACAAACCAGTGGGCAAGTTGAAGTTTCTAATCGGCAGCTGAAGAGAATACTAGAAGTCACTGTGAATTCATCTAGAAAGGATTGGTCTAAAAAGCTGGACGATGCATTATGGGCTTACAGAACAGCATTCAAGACCCCGATCGGCATGTCTTCATACCGCCTAGTCTTTGGAAAAGCACGTCATCTGCCAGTAGAAATGGAGCATCGGGCATATTGGGCCATGAAACAGTTAAATATGGACTTGAATGTCGCCGGAGAAAAGTGTCTTCTGCAACTGAATGAATTGGATGAATTTAGAATGGAGGCTTATGAAAATGCAAAACTTTACAAGGAGCGAACCAAGAAGTAGCATGATATGCACATTCAGAGGCGAGTATTCGAAGTGGGGTAGCAAGTACTACTGTATAATTCGAGACTCAAGTTATTCCCAGGAAAACTACAATCACGATGGTCGGGTCCCTACACAGTTACAAAAGTTCTACCATATGAGGCTATACAAGTGAGCAATGAGAATAAGGGTACCTTCACTGTCAATGGGCAAAGGTTGAAACACTACTGGGGCGGTGACTTCTCTAAACAAAAGTCAACCGTTCAACTCGAGACGCCAGAATGAAGCGGCCGCAGAAAAGTCGAGCTATCGACTATAACTTAGCGTTGGGTGGGAGGCAACCCACTGTATCCTTTTTATCTGTTTATTTACTTTATTATGTTTTCTACATTAACATAGGAAGTTTATTTTCACATTCATTTAGTATTCCGTTATGTGGTCATCAATCATCTAGGCATTTAAAAGAGTCCAAGCACTGTGCACACGAGTTATTAAGTATCACACACACGTTCGGGTTGATTTATGTTATTTTGGGTAATTGACTGTGGAATTCACGTATTTCAAGGAATACTATGTTTTCTAAATTTCACATGTCAACATTTTAAAAATATGTTTCTGAAAAATTTGGGGGCGTTGAGAGTGGGGCCTATTTTTTTCAAAAAAAAAAAAATTTTTTTTGGGACTAAAATCGAATTTTTTTTTTTGGAAAAGAGGCTTTGTTTTATTTATTTTATGAAATTTTTTTTTTTTGTTCTATGCGATCGCATAGACATAGTGTCTATGCGACCACATAGATACCTACCGAAGCTAAAAGCAAGAAAATAAGTTTACCTATGCGACCACATAGGATTTAACTATGCGGCCGCATAGACAAAAAACCCACGCCTGAATCATTTGCTAAGGGCTTCATAACATTTTCGACCTTTCCCTCTCTTCCCAAATCGATTCTAGGCTAACATCACACACCAATTCCTTCGTTGCATTGTGATAGAATTGATAGGATATCCATCCTCTCCATTGATTAAACTCTACAAAGAAAAGGTATGTGTTCTTTCACCCTCCCTCAATTCATTTTCGGTTTTATTTATTATAAATGTAATTTTGGCGATTTGAGGGAGTTTAGAATAATTCTTGTGCATATGGATTGATTGTGCTTGTGTTATGCGAAACTTTGGAATGATTCTAAATCAAAATTCATTCAATTTCCACCATTTCCACTCTATGCTTGTAATGTGTTTGATAAATTGCCACATTGATAATTTTTGGGTATTTTGATATATTTTGCCTTAACTTCATTTGATTGATGGATGTGTATGCGTTTGGTGATTGTTTTTGAATGGGGAACCATGTGAACTAGTAAATTTTTGGCTAGTATATGAAGGTCTCACAACGCATACAACATGTTCGATAAAATGCCAATCTTGGTACTCTAATACATTTATGAAACTCTAGCATGGCATTTGACTATTCGATGAATGGAATAACTCGTTGTGACGTATTACCAAACAATATGACTTAGACAACATTAACACACACATGCACAAAAAAATAGCTAAGTCATAGCATGCCCATAACACCCTCCGTCCCTTATTTTACACTACTGTTTGACACACCAAACGACCTCCGATTGAGCTGAAATTTGGGTATGTGCTAGACCACATTGCATACTTCCATATGCCCGGAGGTTGCCCGGGACAATCTTGATAATTCTCAATATTGCCCGGGGCCGAAGGTGTACACTCAACCATGACTCCAACCCTTTAACTATGAGCATATTCTCCCAAAATTTCCTTATATTTTCATGTGGACTATACATTTATACTACTCTAATCATCATACATTGTTCATTACACCGTGGTAGTATACATGCTTATTGAAACAAATTTGGGGGATTTGTGATTTACGTGCTTTTCATTTCATGCGATTTCTCATTGTATACCAAGATGGCTAATGCTAGCTATTTTCCAACTTTGCAGGATGCCACCAAAAAGAACTTCAAAAGGGAAGGAGAATGTTGGCTCATCATCCGGCACAGCACGCACTCGCTTGCTTGAAGGAGGTATACAAAGATTTTTAACTGTCGAGGCAGCAGCCCGCTATGAAAACATAGTGAGTCGATGGACATTGACACCATAACGGGCTGTTAAATTGGAAGACTTTCCCGGTTTCGAGCTGACTACTTTGGTGCAGAACTGTGGTTGGAATAAAATAGTGGAGCAGCCACATCGGAGTTATGAATTGTTGGTGGGGAAATTTTACGCCAACTTCAATACTGAAATTGACACACCAGGGTCCGATCACCTACATCAGACTTGGGTCCGAGGAAAATGGATCACATTCCCACCCGAAGTTATTCAAGACTACTACCAGCTCACGTGGGAAAACATAACGCCTATACCAGGTGACTTCAATTGGCCTGAAGTGGCGGAGATCTTATTGGGGCGACAGAATGCATGGCCACTCCCCACTACCGAGGGGCATCAGATTGAGCTTACACCGTCTATAGCAATCCAGTGGCTGTTTATGTGCCACAACATTGAGCCTACATCTCACAGGACCACATTCACAGATCCCACAGCTGGATTCCTTTATCACTTGGTGCGAGATAATAAGGTTGATCTTGCCACTCTTTGCTATGATCAGATACATCATGTGGGTACTTTGGGAGATAGACACAGCTCAATGATCTTCCCAAGCCTCATCTCCAGAATTTGCATAGCTGCTGGTATAAACATTGTATCCGGGGAGAGGGCTGCCAAACGCAACCCCACCATAAAGCGCAGTACTTTGGAGGCCCAAGATAGAGCCAGGTTAAAGCATTGGGAGAAGCAAGAAATTGAGAGGCGCAGACAGCAGGGAGAGCAAGGTCATGAGCTAGCAGAGCAAGAAATGCCTCAAGCTCCTCCATCACAGGCTGAGTTAAATGCACAATTGTGGCGCCAGATTTTCACCACCACCACGGGGACCAGCCGAGATGTGCAGAGTCTCCAGCAGGCTATGGGGACTTTGACGACTGAGATGGATACAGCCCACCGTGACATCCGCATTTCCACTGATATGTCACGTGCTGCTCGCTAAAATGCCCAGGCAGCTAGGAGGGAGATGGACACTATGAACGGTTGACTCAGTGTGTATGTGGGCCGGGTGGATGGCATCCAGATGAGGGTAAATGAAACTTGGGAGCGTTTAGGCCGTTTGGAGACACGTGTTGAGGGAATCCACGATGAAATGACACAGCAGTCAGCACTGATGAGATAGATCTTGGCGCGCCTACCTCCACCTCCAGCTGATGATACTGCAGGATCTAACTTCCCATCGCAGCCCCCGTTTTGATCAGGGGAGTATCGTTTGCCTCATTTGTATTCATTTTCCTTAAATTCTGCCTTCTAAACTTATTTTTCACATTGTGGACAATCTCTTGTATAAGTTTGGGGGATGGTGGCATAATTTGATTAAGACATTCGGCATGTAGCTAATTGCATTTCCACAATCTAGATTTATTTTGACTAATTGCTGCATGAGACATGCTTGTGAGTGAATATTGATTATGCTTATGTATGCTTGTGTGAGCTTAATCGCCTTGCCGGCTATGATGTTACTATTGGATTGGTACATTTTAGAACTTTGGGGTCAATGTTAATTAGACTAACCAATACTTGTTAATGCAATACTTGACATTCTTTATGCACGTCATTTATGCTTGACATGTTAGGTAAGTGATTGGGGTTTTGAGCATAAAGTAGAGAGATAGTTATAACCCTCTATTGAATTAACCCGTAAAATACCTTAAGACAGTTTGGTGATAATTGAACTATTATAGGAGAACATTGAAATGAGTGAGGCTCTGTGCATGAATTATTGTGTCGATTGCCTAGACCAGTGGAATGAAGAGTAGGTGAAAATCTTAAATTGAGGGTTAGTTTTGGATACCAGATGTCTAGAAAAATAAGGGCATGAACTTAATTTGTAAGAATAAGACACTTCTTTTTTCAGCCTTTATGACTCGAGCAAGTAAGCCTGTAAGGATATTTCAAAATCTGGTGCCCTAAGGTCAACTGATCTGGGAATCACCGACCTAAAGCTCGATACATGGGTCATGTAGAAAGCAAGAAGTAAAGAAGTTAATATAAAGTCATCTAATCGAGTCTTTATAATTCGAGTGAATAAGTTTGCAAGGGTCTAAAACCTGGTGCCCTAAAACCAACTGGTTTGGGAGTCGCTGGCCTAAAGCTCGTTACATGGGTTATCTAGAAAGCAAATGAGAAGATGATAAGATAAAAAAAAAAACCAAAGAAAAGTGAGAAAAACAAAAAGAGACAATAACAAGAAGAAAAGCCCTTGGACAATTGGTGGAAGAAACTCTACCTTTGAGGCGAAACAAGTAACCTAGTTTAGTCTTGAGTGTCGAAGCAATCAAAACTAGGAGAGCCTTCACTTGTTGACGTGTGAACTTGTGACAGTGAAATTAATCCAAACTACGAGAGGGTGAGAACTAAAGCTAGGTAAACTCATAATCTTTAAACACAACCCCGGGATAATTGAGTGAAAAGAATAAGTTTGGGGGGTTGTGTATCTCTCGAGCGAGTAAGGAGACATTTGACCACTTGGGGTCGGGACTCAAACTCATCATGAACTTGATATGTTAGCATGAATCCACACACACACGTGTCAAGTATGCACTTAACAGACGAAGGTTGATGTCATCTTGCACTGATAAATTTTCATAAAATCAATTACTTAGTCCAATCCTGAGTCAAGGCAAGGTGTTAAGCCATGTTTGTTCAGAATTATATCACTATCTTGTTTGAGGACAAACAATAGTTCAAGTTTGGGGGGTTTGATAAGTGTGTTTTTGCACACTTATTTACATCACAAACATGACTTAAATACAAGTAAAATGATTTAATTGCTACTTAACTTTGTCAAATTCATGCAATGTAGGAAATTCTATGGAAATAGTGGAATTCAGGAGAAAAGAGCCGAAAAAGGACCAAATTGAAGCAAAGAGAAAATTCAGGGAC